CTTTGCGGGTGGCCCGGACACCAGATCAGATTCCGGTATTGGATGAAATCCCAGGTGTTGTGAGGGATGTGTCTATTCCGAATGGAGATGAGATTCTTCCAATGGGCACTTTGGGGCTCGGGGATGGACGGCCGTTGCAGAGACTTCGTCGGTATGAGGCTTTTAAGGAAAGTGACGAGCTTTTGACGCACGCAGAGTGCAGGACGATGCAATCGAGAATTAACGATAATCCGATAGAAGGGTAGTCATTGCGAAGGAAGTGCTTTTATCTTGGAATATAACTGTATATGTACATACATGTGTGGGATATGTCCAACAGGCTGTTCTAATTGAGTTCCAGCCTTACACGCTTGTTAGTGGATGGACGATATTCGACCATGAAAACCACATCATCCAGTCCTTCAGAGCTCGGATCCGATAAAAAAATGTAGGATTTGCCTACATTTACTGAATAAGGCATCCCTACGGTGCGAGACATGATTACTCTTCAGCAAATGAGGTTTTTGCCCTTCCTAAATTTACAAGAATAGTTTGATCAAGCCCGGTGTAACTTACCAGTGGTCTTCAATGCCCGGGCCTTTTGTACCCTTACCCATCGTAATGGGGAGGTGTTCTTCCAGGCCAGTCCAGACCAGGAGATCAACCTGGCCATCAAGACAAATGCCGCTTTTCACGGGTGAGCCTTGCCCTTGAAGATTTCCTGCATAAATGTTCAGACACCCCGCTGATCGCCAGTAGATTGCCGTCACTCCGTCAAGCTGATCAAGTCTCCTAATTATGGAGAAAGAACGGTTAAATGTCATGCTGACAATGGCTGGGAGGCAGTGCATATTTCTCCTCACCCTTCATACTGCGATCTTATGGTCCACAATATGGTCGATCAATTGTTCACACTACTCTACCTGGACACATCGTTCACTAGCTTTGTCCTTCCATCAAATGTCCAGACTAAGCTATTCACTTTAGGCTCGCCCTTCAATGAATGGCTATACAACTCTATACTGTAATATCGCGCAGGGCCAGTACGATCTCCACGAATACTATATAGATGATATCATATAGTATGCACACGGAGGGAACGCTGGGTCCTGTGACCTTTTTGCTTCCTAAACCAGTTGACAGAATTGCCCTCTTCGACTCTTCAGCACGACTAAATGACGAAATGATAAGGACTGGATGACCAACCGCTATGGAATTCGTGATTACAGACGACTTCGGACCCCTCGGCGCTAGCGTTTCGGGCAATTAAATGCAAGTACCGACGCATTGCAGGGCAGCTAGGAGCTAAGGTGCATCAAGATCAGCCTTTCTCCGACATCGCCGCCCTAAGAAGAGGAGCCTTTCTGTTGCTTATATATAGAATGATACGAGATCGCACAAGTTTAATGTCAAAGTTACATGTGTGCCGATTTTTCATTGTTCATCATGGATGTCAAGCTCGCACTACTCATAACTGTCCTTTCAGCACCATTATCTGTCTTCTTGTACAGACAGATCCGTGCGTCGCTCGAGGACATCCAACACACGCCAGAAGAACGTACCTTTACTCCTGCGCGAACTGGACCGGCTGTGCCAGGAGGACAAACATTCCCTAAAGCAGTGTACCCCATCGATGCCTTCCCGGGAAGCAGGCAATTCAAAACTGTATATGGAACAATCCATGTATTCGAATGGGGCCCTGAGGATGGGGAAAAGGTGTTGCTGGTGCACGGCCTTGGTACACCCTGTATAGCGTTGGGTGATATGGCTAAAGAGTTGGTTCGCAAAGGCTACAGAGTCATGCTGTTTGGTAAATTGTATCTGTTCTTGACCCTTTGACTGTGACTGACGTCGACGTCGACTTGTAGATCTGTTTGGTCGGGGCTACTCCGATGCGCCGAATGACCTCGTCTTTGATGCAAGACTCTACACCACCCAAATTTTCCTGGTGCTGTCTTCCTCCCCGCTACCCTGGACTGGAACTTCTGCCTTCCACATTGTTGGCTTTTCCCTCGGTGGCTCGATCGCCGTGGCTTTCGCCGCCTACCATGCGACTATGCTCCGCTCCGTAACTCTGGTTTGTCCTGGAGGCCTCATCCGCACGTCGCACATGAAGCCATTCGACAAAATTCTATACTCTACTGCTAGGGTTATACCTGAGTGGCTACGTCTCAGACTATTTCGGGAGAGTTTACAGCCCAGCAACGGCGCGGCCTGTGCTGATGTTCCTGGGGAAAAGGAGGACGAGGACGACTTAGCTTTTGATGATGTGCCTATTGCGCAGGATCGGCCCCAAGTCACGGTCGGAGATGTGATCCGATGGCAGCTAGGAGCCAATGCTGGTTTTGTGCGGTCTTACCTGAGTACACTCCGCAGTGCTCTAGTCTATAGACGACATGACCGGACGTGGAGAGTCTTGGCTGACGAGCTGGCCAGAAGACGAGTGACAAACGCTCTACCGGGTTTGCCAGGCGGAAAGGTCTGCCTTATAGTGGCTGAGAAGGACGTTATTGTTGTGGGAGACGAGTGTGCCTCAGATGCGTCGGAGATACTTGGGATAGAAGCCGTGGAGACTCACGTCCTGAGTGGAGGGCACGAGATTGCCCTCTCGAGAGCAAGGGACGTGATTTCAATAGCGGTGGGGTTCTGGAATAGACCATGACGAAGTATGATGATAGATATAGAATAAGACTTCCACAGACAAGTTGGGCGTAATATGAATTTCGTGTGTCTATCTAATATCAAAGCAATTCATATCACTGCAGACTCAAATGCTTCGCTGCCTCCTCGACTATCTTGGTTCGATCTTCATCTCGAGCCTCAAGCTTGCAACCAAACTTCAAAGGTCTCGGAGCTGGCACTGGTTCATACTGTAATTTCTCCCGAAGTTCCTTACCGTTCTCATCAGTCGGCCATTTGATATTCAGTGTCCACCCCAGCTTTGCAAACATTATGACTAGGGTCCTTTCTGCAAAGTCGACGCCTGGACATGCTCGCCTACCATATCCAAATGCTGGAAAGCCTTGGCAATTAGGATACGTGGTCAGTGGTTCCTTGTAGGTAGGGTAACCAGGCTCAAGCCAGCGGGCAGGATTGAAAAGTTTGCCGTCTGGATAGATGTCTTTGTCCATAAGGATAGACCTGGTAGGGTTAATAACTATTATTGCAGGCATTCAGTGACTCACGCGAATATTGCATTGAATACAGTGCCCTTCTCGAAAAAGTAGCCCTCATAAATGTCGTCCGCTTGCAAGCAATGGCCAATGCCCATTTCTGCCACAATACTTCTGTATCGGACGGTCTCTTTCACAATAGCTCTCACAGTGGGCAGGTTCGGAATGTCCGTATATCTCGGCATTCGATCCTTGCCGACGACTCTGTCAACCTCCTCTTGGAGCTTTTTCTGCCACTCAGGAAACTCCATCATGAGAAATAAGAAGGTGAGTAGATTGTTGTGGGGAGAGCGAGTCCCCCCGTCAATCATGGCCTGAAACGTGTGGACGGACTCCTCCTCAGTGACACTGTACTGGTCTCGGTTTAGGAGAAACTGTTTATAGATGCACTCTGTCGCTGAGCCATCCTTGACAAGCTTCTCAATCTTGCGTCTGAAAGCCCACATCTCGCCCACATACTCTTTCCTGAGCCTCTCCATAGTTCTCAAGCTTGGCAGAAGCCACATAGGCAGCTTCCTGAGCACCGGGAACACATTGCTAGGGAAGCAGTCAGGACGAAACGAGTTCATGAGTTCTGCTGTGAAGGTTTCATTATGGTGGATGAATGGGTCAGATGGACTGCGGACTGAGAAGCCGAGCAACGAGCTCGTCAATACCGAGTAGGAGTATCTCAAGAACTCTCCATGGAATGAGTCCGGTGACTGTAGCAATGCGTTTACAGTGAATGTTGCTTCATCGTCCATAAGACTCTGGTATTTGTTGATGGATGTGATGTTGATAGCGCTCTGTATCATGCTTCTCTGGCGACGCCATCCATCTGTAATGGTCAATCCTTTACTCATAATTCCGAAAGCAAGCCCTAGGCAAGCTGCTCACCGTCTTTAGGCCTGAACCCAGGATTCTTTTTCATCGAAATGTATTCCACGGCATGGGGTGCTCCACGATCAGAATACTTGACTCCCCGCCTGACAAACAGCTCTCTTGCATCCTTCTCTTCGGTAAGAATTACTTGCTTGTCGCCCATGGCGCTGAACTGAGTGATGGGCCCATATTGCTCCGCCCACTTCTTGAAGATGCCGATAATCCCATTAATGTCAACGGCAGCCAGCGCTGGTGCGCTTCCGAGAAACGGCCATCCTTCGTTCTTATTAGGCAGTGATTGAGTTTGGATTGACTTGATGCATACCTTTTGGCCCGGGTGGTACCTTGGCGCCCTGTCTACGTTGCCGGCTTGACCAGATCCCAGCAACATACTGCAAAGTAAAGGCCACCAAGGCTAGCCATGACAAGTGGTATAAGGAAATCATTATGTGCACGTTTGACTATCCTTGGTAGGGCTCAAGAAGATGTCGCAAAGTAGCTCTTCAGCTTTGATTGTCGACTCCACAAGGTATCATGAAACTGTCTACCAGATAGTTGGATCATCGCCGTGCCTCACATTTCAGCATGCAATAGGTTAGCTGAGTCAACAATTCACAATACATTGCCCCACAAGAGGACGAACAAAACATCCAGGTCTCGCTGCACTCGCGGATCACTAGCTCGGGAATGACCGTTCGGCGTAAGCATTCAATTCGGTATGATATCCACATACGGCAATTCCGCCGTTCGGCCAGGCGATACAGATATGCACCCTGTTCGCATTTCGGTACAGGATAACGTAACAGGCCTAAATGTGCCACTGGGAAGAATGACAACAATGTGGAAACAATGCACCAAAAGTTGCTTGCTTATGTACGGGATCTGCCCTATCGAGATTAAGGTGTAGTTAACTAGTCTTGCCCGCCTTTCATCACCTTGTATTGATCATTACACACCAAAGCAGTATCAGCAAGAGATAAGATCAAAATGGATAATTTCATGGAGATGACCAAGAACCTCGGGCACCAGCCCGAGCTGCTACGCCTGAGAGCGCTGGATGCCACTTATGAAGATGCCTTGGAGGGTAAACTGGTGGTGGCCCCCATTGATATGAACGAGCCGGGCAAGAAGATTCTGGACTCTGGTACCGCAGATGGTAAGCTACAAAACGCAACCCTAAAAATTCTTCTAATGGCGTTGACACTGTTGAAAGGCACCTGGCTTCGCAATGTACGGAGCAAGCAATCAGCCGAGCATGACTACTATGGTAGCGATGTTGAAGGCGAGCTGTTCCCAGAGAATCCAGATGGCATTACCTACTTTGCCCATTCCTTCAAGGACCCATGGCCCCAGCAGTACTTGGGATTTTTCGACCTCGTCCACATCCGAGGCAGCCTGGCGGGCTCCGCTCCGGAGGGACCGGCCCCTGTGATTAAGAACCTGACTACTCTGTTGAAGCCTGGTGGCTGGGTTCAGCTCATGGAAATGAATGGCTTCAGTCCTCCACCAAATGGCCCTGCCATGACAGACTTTGCTAAGATGGCCTCGGAGATGTTTACCGGCATCGGTGTCGGTGACTTCGCCAACAACAACAAGTCCATGTTGGAAGAAGCCGGCTTGAAGAATGTACAGGAGAAGCGCGTTATCGTCAACCTGGGCAAGAAAGCAAAGCCAGAGTTGCACCAGCACAGTATTCATGGAGTTACTGGACCCATTGTGCCGCTGACTAGCGTGGCCAAGTCCGTGCCATCTTCGTTTACCAATGAGCAGCTTGACGCGCTTCCGGGGCGGGTTAAGGAAGAGCTGGAGACAGAAGGGGGTCAAGTTGAGATGATTATTGCCTTTGGCCAGAAGGCTTGAGATTTGCCAGTATTACCTTTATCTCTCAGATAGTGTCCTTCAATGAATAGAACCAATGTGAAACTCTCTGAGCCGTTATGTGACAAGCAATCTATTTGAGTACCTCAGCGTCTTTCAACACACACAGTATATGGCTGGTATGTTAGATTTTACATGTCATGGAGAGGAGTAGGGCGTTCCAATATGTTAAGATTTAAGATTTCGATAACTAGAAATAGTCCATAGCATCTAAGCGTCTACTCAGCAGGATGACCCTTTTGCAACAGAGGTACCCGAATCACCCCCTTGGAGGCCAACATGTAGGACCCCAAAACCTCGTCCAAGCCCTTGCGGATTGACAAATCCACCCACTCCTTCAAGGGCAGCACCTGCAATGGCTTCCCTTCCAATTCCTCCACATACTTTTGCAAGTCTCCGACAGGGATAACTTGTTCACCACTCTGGTGAAGATACACCAGATCACCACCACTCTTTTCGTTGCTCTTGACAACGCAGGCAGCAATGTTCTTTGAAACAGTTTCAACTTTGATAAAGTCGAAGAACCCGGTCCCGGTGAGATCGGGTACAGCCCCTAACTCCCGAGAGAACTTGAGCAGACTATGCGCAATATCATTGTCGGGAACATCGTCACCGGTGATGCTGCTCGGCCGGTGGATCCATACCTGCCCTTGGAAACGTCGTTGAATCTTTTCAAGGAACACCTCGCTGGCCCATTTGGACGCCACGTATCCGTCCGATCCGTCGATGGGAGGATGGAACGCTGCGAGCGATGTCTCGGGCTGCTCATCGGCGCCACTCAGACGCGCTACACCTCCAGTGGAAATGTAATGAATTGGGATGCCATAGCGCACAGCCGCACGTGCCAGCTCCATGGTCGACAAAAAGTTGGCAGCGCGAAGACTGCGATAGTTCTTCATGTGTGAGACCTCAGCTCCGTTGTGGACGATGATATCGATACCCTTGAATAGATTCAAGAATTCGGACTCGCTCATGCCCATATTGGAGAGTGCAAGATCACCAGAGTGACGGACGACCTTGGGGGAATCCACGCTCAATTGTCGGGGTACACCATCCTTGTTGGGACGAATGGCCACACAGTGAACGTGCGCGACACTGGGCAGTTCGACTAGTTGGCGCAGAATGTGACCTCCCAAAAAGCCTGTGGCGCCAGTAAGGAGAACACATATTCCGTCCGAATGACCATTGGATGATCCATGGCCATTGACTCCGTTGGTAGCCGGAGTTTGTGTGAATGTTGTCTCGTCCAAAGCAATCTCCTCGTCCCAATTGATCTGCGCCAATAAAGAAGTACCATCGAGTCGCGCAGCGAGAAGCTCAAGCGTGCTGGCCTGGAAAAGTTCGGAGACCGCAAGTTCAGCCCCGAAGATTTGAGAGATCTCAGCCTTCAGAGCCAGCAGAAGCAGAGAGTTACCACCAACAGAAAAGAAGTCAGAGCTACGACGGATTAGAATAGATGCAGCTATGTCACCCAAGACATTCTTCCAAACGTCTCGCAATCTCGCCTCGGTTGGTGTAAGCTGCTCTTCCGCGTCGTATTCAACCGAAATGTTGGGTAGAGGCAACGACGCCAGCTTCCCAGTGTCAAGCTTGCCACGGTCGGTCACCGGCAGAGTATCCAGAGGGATGATGATTGCCGGGCGCATGTAAGCTGCAACTGGGAGTTCCTGGTTAAGTTGACGGAGATATGTCTGCTTGTCCTGAATATTGCTGGTTCGCGAGAAGACGACGTAGGCAACGAGCTGTTGCTTTGATGAATCGTCTCCCTTCAGGAGCACAGCCGCATCCGCAAAGACGCCTCGGGATGCTTGGACAAGAGCTCTGGCGATCTCGCCGAGTTGCACTCGATGACCTCTAACCTTGACCTGATCGTCTCCATCGACGCGACCCGAGAGCACGATGGAGCCGTCGGAAAGCATACGGCCTTTATCTCCGGTAAGATAAAGAGAGTCCAATCCAAAAACACCTCCCAGAGAGGCTGACGTCTTGAATTTGGCTTGGGTCAGCTCAGGGCGGTTTAGATAGCCACTAGCAACACCCGGCCCAGCAATTGCGACCTCACCAGGCCAACCAAGAGGAACAGGTCTGCACTCTTGATCCACGATATAGGTCCCGTAGTTGGCAATGGCCTTTCCGATCGGGATGCTGGTTTCGGTTGATTCGCTTTTTTCCAAGGACACTTCGCCCAAGGAAGAGCAGATAGACGCTTCAGTCGGACCATACGCGTTGATAACCTTCAAGTCAGGTCGGTTGAGCGCGCGGAACTGCTCCAAGAGATGAACTGTGAATGCCTCGCCAGCAACCATTGCAATGCGCCATGAAGAGCAGTTGCGAAGCTGATCGTACCCATACTTCAACAGAGCTTGCATCTCGGAGACAACGTGGGTGGTGCAAGTAACGGATTCATGAGCCATCAGAGCGGCAAGTTTTGCAGGATCATCTCTATTGTCGGCCATGATCAAGGTGCCGCCGTTGGCAAGCGCAATAAAAATCTGGTAGACTGCAGCATCGAACCCTTGTCCGCTCTGTTGGAGGACCACCTCTCGTCCAAGTGGCACCCTCTCCGAAACACCAAGGATAGGGGTCCGGATGTTGGCATTAGTGAGCGGAATGCCCTTTGGCCTACCTGTAGAACCACTAGTGTAAAGAATCATTGCAAGGCCGCCGGGGGCTGAGATGTCTTGAATCTTTCTGATGGTCTTTTGAGGGACGGCATTGAGAGTGACCACCTTGGTTTTGGAGGAGCTTCCGAGCAGCTTCTTGCTGCGTTGGGCGGTTACGGCGTGATGGACCACAATTGCTGGTTGGGATTCTTGCAGAATATCAGCAAGCAGTGCATCTGAGCTCCTGGTATCGAGCGGTACATAGGCAGCTCCAATGCGGAGAATGGCGAGGATCGTGGCGATGGTGTCTACACTGGGCTCAAGCAGGACACCAATGGGATTGGAAGGCGTTGCGCCGGTGTTCAGTAGCGATGCGGCAATAGCGTTGGACCTTTCCAAGAGCTGCAAGTATGTCTTTGTCTTGCCGGTAGTGCCCTTGACGGCCAGAGCGTGGGGGTCCTTGTCTACCCATGTATTGACGATCTTTGACAGAGTGCCAACAGAAGGAGCTGCAAGGTCCAAGATCGGCCCGGTACCAAGTCTGATGGCCTCGCCCTCCAAGGCCACGTTGGAAATCGACACGGAGCCAACTAGACGGTCTGTGTTCTTTGCCAATTCCTCAAGCATGCCTGCGTACATGCTGGCAAGGAGTTGAGCACCCTCCTGGTCGTACAAGTAATCTTGTAGATATAGGGTAATCATGGCAGTTCCGTCGTCTAGCTCATCAACGGTCGAAACGAGATCGAACGGGTTCTGAGCGTCGACATAGTCCAAGAATTTCATCTCAACTCCCTGGAGCGGAGCGGTGCGGCCAGCCCCCATGCGGTAATTGAAGCATACTTGGAAGAGCGGCGTTTCTGTTGTTGACGATGCGACACCACAAGCTCTCAGAATCTCCTCGGTAGGAACACCGGTCTGTGCCAAACCAGCATATGCCTTGCTGCGTGTTTCCTTCAGAAGTTCGATGAACCGTTGCTGGCTATCGACCTTGAACAACAAGGGGATGGTTTCTAGGAAGAACCCGATAGAGTTCACAAACTTCTGGTCGGACCGGTTGGCGTCTACCACCCCAATGCACATCTTGTCTGTGTCCAGGAGTTTGTGCAGTAACACTTGGAAAACAGAGAGATAGAAGTGGAAAGAAGTGGTGCGAGAGGTCTGGCTCGCCTTCTTTATCGCGGTCACCACATAGGCATCGAGATGGGTGACAACCTCTTGAACAGCGTACTGCTTCACAGCCTTACGTGTGCCGACTTTGGCAAAAGGGAAAAGAGGCAAAGGCTCGACAGGCTCTCGGAATTGCTCTTGGAAGAAGCGGAGTCTTTCGGCGTAGGCTCCATCGGACAGGTCTTGTTGTTGCTTGGCAGTAAACTCGGAGTATTGAGCAGGCAAATATTGTGCCGAGTCCACAGAGCCCGAGGTGTTGTAAAACATGGCCATGTCCTTCTGGAATATCTGCCAGCTGAACCCGTCCATGATGATATGGTGGTATCCGAAGATCAGAGTGTGAGAATCCTGACGGTGTGACAGGATGGTGGCTGCAAAAGTGTCTCCTTGCTCGAGATCGTAGTGACGATAGCGGATCAAATCGAATTCCTTCTCGATATCGGACGAGTCACTGACACCGGGAACAACCTTGAGTTGGAATGGTGACTTGTCGAGCACTCCCTGTATAGGCTTTCCGTGCTTCTCATCCGTGTAAAATGAAGTGCGCAAGGCCTCATGACGCCGAACGACCTCATTGATAGACTGCTCGAACTTAGGCACGTCCAGCTTCCCGGAGAGGGTGTAGGATATGGTGCAGTTCAGGACGGTATCATCGTCCATGTATTGAGATAGGAAGTAGAGCCTGGATTGGCCCAACGACAACGGCTGTATGCTGATCGGAGTTGGACGAGGGTTTTTCTTTGCGGCACTACCACGAGCTTGAGGCCTTCGGAGAGGCTTGGGCCTCACGGCAAGGTCTAAGGACTGCTTCGGTGTTCCGTTTGGCAAACCGTTTTGACCATTTGTGACCATATCGGACCTGGGTGCAGCTACCACGTCGTCCATTGGCTTTGTATCCGTTGGTGGTTTATCCCAAGGGCGAGCCTTCTGAACCGGTGCTGCTTGACTTTCGATCTTGGCGGCCGCGATCGAAGTCTTGTCAAAAGACAGAGATGAGACTACCTCATCACAAATCTGCGCGACCGAAGATCCGCCCAGTATCTTCAATACTGGAAGGTCGTACCCGGCTTCGGCCCAGGTCCAGTTCCGAATCTGGACGGCTACGAGGGAATCGATACCGAGGTCAATTATGGGCACATCGGTGTAAATGGTCTCGCGTGACAGCTTCGGGTTGTCAGCAACACGAAAGCTTGAATGGGGCAGTACTTACCTTGAGTGAGGACGCTAGGTATTCCAAGAGAGCATTCTCCATAACCTTTCTCGCTTCCTCTGGTCCGCCCGAGCTGAGCAGCATCTCCTTCAAAGATTTCTGAGCGCTACCAAGAGAGTCTGCACCTGCTTGAGTAGCATCAGGGTCAGTGATGAGATGAGAAAATCGCAAATTTTTGTGCCAGAAGGGAGCCTCTCCTGTGACGGGCTTGTATGTCTCCAACCCTGTGATTAGCTCCGGGGACTCATCACTCTGACCGACGAGTATGGCCTCGGCGAGGAGATGATGCAGATCGGTCTCAGATACTGGCATATAATCCATCTGTCGGATCGAGTTCTCCATCGTGCTGACACCTTTGTCATTTTGTGATCTCTGAATCACACCGATACCGACGACCATGCCAATATCGATGACAGAAGCAGGGAGACCATGGGCCCTTCGTCGCTCAGCCATAGCGACCATGAACTAAGAACAATCAGCAATCTCGAAACATGTGTCAAATTAATAGACTTACGTTGTTGGCAGCGACATAATTGGCCTGCGTTCGCTGACCCGTCATGACCGAAATGGACGAGAAGAATAGGAAAAAGTCAAGGTCATCAGCAGAGAAAACCTCCTCGAGGTAGATGGAACCTTGCACTTTAGGCTTCATGGCAGTTTGGAAACTCTCAAAAGGCATGTCGATGAACAATTTGTCGTCCAACACCATGGCGCCATTAGCAATCCCACCAATTGGAGGCATAGTGATGGCAATGCGAGTGCGGAGCTCCACGAGGTGATGCTTTTTGGTAACGTCAACTGCTTCAATGACAATATTTACTCCTTGCCTGAGTAACTCTTCCTTCCAGAGCTGTCCTTGCTTGTCGGGGTTCCTGTAGATCATCGTTAGAAATCCATCTCACGGTCAGATGCCAGACCAACAGATTACGTACCGACTTGTGACGACGATATGGCGAGCTCCGTTTTGTACCATCCAGCGACACATGGACTGACCAATTTGCCCGGTGAGGCCGACAAGAAGATATGTCTTATTAGGAGAGAATAAGTTTCGAGTGTCCACCGGTCTCTGGCTAAGGGTAATGCTCTGAGCTCCTGTCCAGTCAACGACAGCAGCATTGGCACGTCCCTTAACACCCTCAGCAACCAAAACAGAGGCTTTTACCACATTAATATGGTCATTAGAAAACTTCTCGGATGGAGAAGAGCCCTGTACAACTGACAAGGCCTCTGCAAGCAACTCACGAGGGCTAATTTCATGAGCGCCAAGGTCATTGAAAGCAACAACGGTAGCGTGGGGCGGCAGAGCTTGTCTGAGAGCCGAGAACTTGCGTGTCTCGGTCCCGCGTCCCATGTGGATGAGCATCCTAGTTTTGGGGGGTAGTTTCGCTTGAACCTCCTTCGTAGAGGCATGCGGTTCGATGAAAATATTGCTGCATGTGATTGACCCTGTTGAGCTGACTTTGAAGGTGACGGACGAAATAGCTGATCGGCCGGGCCTCCGCAAGGAAGCAGCAAGATGTGCATCAGGTTCGTAAATCAGGGTAGTGCATCCGTGGGGAATGGACTTGGCGATCACAAGAGCCTTGATCTCGTTCAGCATCTCAGTGATAAAAGTACCATCATCTTGCGGCGTATCCATGTCCACTTGTAGCGTCCATTCCCGTGGCACTGTTACGACGGAGGCATTGGATGGTGAAAGACCAAAAACTCGTGATCCTTGTGACGTGCGTCCAATGCAGCAGAATAGATCCTCATCGTCAATCCTGGGAATGACAGGGTCCATCGAGCAAAGTTCCACTTGAATAGTAACTGCATCCGCCGTATCCTCTTTGAAATCTCTATGGCGGTGGACTGCTTCCGCTGTATAAGCGACTTGACCGTCAGTCTGCAAGGATCTGGTGATGGCAATCGGCTGCGTTGCAACAGCAGCTTGCGTCTCCACCTTGCGTCTGAGAGCATTCAGCCGGTCGTTGCGCTTCGTATCTGGGAAGAGTCTTGGAACGAGGTATTTGCCTTTCTCGAGGGCGACTTCTGGCTCAATAGTCCATAGGTGAGTCGTCTCCGCGGAATTACCATTGCTCATATTGACACCACCTATGAGTCTGAGGAAACTCTCTGTGATAGCTGACTCCACTCCGTCCAGCGTGTCCGTGTCAAGAAACTGGAGTACCTTTTGTGGATTCTCAGACTGGAATGTTCGACCAATGCCAATGGTGGCATTATGGTAAGGATTGTCGGCTCTCGCCCGGTGGGTAATCCAGAGGACCGTTTTGGCCGTTGAGAAGAGTGTCTGCAGACCCTTAAAGGTTGGGCCTCTGATATCCTCTAAGACTGGACGATCAAGATCAGTCAGACTCAGAACAGCATCAACGCTGCTGGCCTCATCACTCAGCTCAGCCAGAGTTCGCACGTTGATGATCTCTCCCTGCCAAACATTCGACAGCTTTGATTGAATACATGTAGCAAGCTTGGCAACATCCGGCGAGAAACCGCCTACCACAAGGAGGTTTCCGCTGAGAGGAGCAGGCGAGGGAGATGTCAACGGGCTGCGTAAGAAGGTGATGTGATCATCAAGGGCCTGGGAGACGACGACAGAGAATGTATGCTTGTCAGGTACATTGTCGAGAGCAATCGAGTCAACTCCAGAGAACCCAATCTGTCGAAGAAGCTCGTGAGTCTCCTCGCGCGTAGGGTTGATGAATCTCGTCTCTGCCAAACCATCTTCGTCAAGTGCAGGGAGTGCGGACAGCAACATGAAGGGGAAGCGGAGCTGGGCGCCAGTCGCAGCCATCATGACAATAAAACCTCCGGGACGCAACAGATTTTGGATCGTCTTCAGAGCGGCGACTTGTTTGGTAAAGGCCTTGTGGACAATGACCAGGTCAAAAAGGCCGGCGCTGGTCAGATGATTAACCTCCTCGATGCCATTCTCGACACTGGCCTGTGCAAAATCCAGTCGTAACTGGTCTGCAGCAAGCGCTGTCTTCATCTCCTCGATGGTATGCTCTGAGTCATCAACTAGGGTATATCTCTCTAAGCCGCGGCCCAGCTCATGACAGATCGAACGGACTAGTCCTGGTGAAGATGGACCGACTTGAAGAATTCTCAAATTGGCGTGCTGATGAGAAATCTGTTTAGCTGCACTCACGAAATGACTCTGGAGTTGAGAGAAACCCAAACCCTCATTGTGCCACCGCGATATAAGAGCACCCATTGATGAAGGGGTAATTGGGCCGAGGCCCTCACTTGGCGAGTTGAGGAGACCCTCGCCGATGGTGCGCACGAGGACAAGGTCGATGTGCTCTCCGACTTCTTCCAGGATTGAGACCATATCAGATTGCGTCGGTGTGCTAGTCACACGAGCTTCCATCTCTCTGAGCAGAGAACGTATCCCGGGGCTCTTATCAGCCCACTGGTCGAGGTAACCGGCCGCCTTGAGCTTTGACAGGTAGTAGTGGACAGCCTTTTCACAGGTATCAATAACCTTTGACTCGCTTTCTGGGGCGGCGATGCTGTGCTTGGATGATGCACAGAGAGCTCCAGAAAGCATCTCCTGTCCCCACACATTCTTTAGGTAAAACCTCCTGTCATCACTCTCAGACGCGGGGAGGAACGAGCTCATCACAAAGTCTTCAATCTTGACTTGTAGCTGATTGGCCTCGGAGCTGAAAATGGTCATATCACCAGTCAGTGTCGGAAGTGCCACCTCATAACCAGGCCCAAATTCGGTAATGTGCGCGTCCACAGTTACCGAAGCGCCAGGAACTTGGGAAGTGCTCGATGGGGAGAAGACCATTCGACCGATAGTAGTGGGCATGAAGGCTGTCCATAGTGAACCGTCGCGAGGGGCAGCGAAAGCTGCGAGGAAGGTCTGGAAGCAGGCGTCAAGCCAAGTGGGATGAACAGGAATCGTCCCAGACAGGTCTCTATCCACAGCCACGGTAGCAGATGCAAAATTCAAACGTCTCTGCATGGACGTCATGGCTCTGAAGGGTCCGCTATAGCTCAGCCCGATCTCGTCCATCGACGTATAGAATCTGTCGACGCTGGTCGGCAGCAGATCCATCTCTGCCTGTCGACGTCGATCGGGGAATGAGATTGGCGATTCCGAGGCAAGGGTGATTCGAATCTGGCCGGTGGCAGCAGTTCTCAAATGTCTGTCGTCCATGGCGCCAGCGCTGAGACTGAACTGTGCGTGAATTTCGTTCTCGTTCTTGTGGGAATCAAGGTCGCTGCGCACAGAAAACAAGGTCTCCGTGCCATCGGATGCCTCGTCTAGGACGATAGGGCGTAAAATGGCCACATTGGACAGCTCAATACTGTGAACATTCTTGCCCCGGCAAAGGACCTTGGCAGCCTCCAGAGCCATAACGCAGTAGGTAGCCGCCGGCACAATGATCTGGCCTTGGATGCAATGGTCTCGCAACCAGGGTAACTCGTCCATGATAAAAAAGTTTCGCCATCTGGGCTCATAGTCCGTATCGTCGGGGGTTCTGCTACCAAGGAGCAGGTGAGGCGGATCAACCCTGTTGCGGACATTCTTGTTAAGACGGGACTCGCGATACAAGACCTTCTTGTGATCCCATGGATATGTCGGCAGGTCAGGCAGAACAGGTGCCTTTAAGATGGAAGCATTGCTCGGGTCAAATGCAGACGCGTACCCTGCAAAGTCGACAACCCCAGATCCCAATGTCAACCATGAGAACCCAAGAGCGGTACTCAAGGCCGTTATGTCGTCTGACTTGCGATCTAGCACGCCAGAGTAAGGAATTTCTGAGCCAAGCTTGTGTCTGATTGTCTCGAGAGTAGGTCCCTTGAGAGAAGGATGCGGTCCAATTTCGAGAGCGAGGTCAAAGTCGCCATTACCCTCGTCCAGTGCACGCTCAACGGCTTGCGAGAACAACACTCTCCCGATCAGGTTGTCTTTCCAGTAGGCTGCTTCCATATCTTTGTCCTGGGCCGGAGTGATCATTCTGTTATCCTCGTACACGCTGGATGCCCAGGCGGTTCCGTTGGATTCGCCAGCTACAAGACCGCAGCGCTCGATGGCAGCCAGATACGGCGCCGCGCAAGGATACATGTGCGGCGAGTGGTAGGCCGTGTCGAGCCGGAGAACCCGATTGAACACGCCTTCGGCGTCCAGTAATTCCTTGGCCTCATGAACAGCATCGAGATCTCCTGAAAGTGTGACGCTCTTGGGCGAGTTGCTGGCAGCAACAGTGAGCCGATTGGCGAATTGCTCCATCGCGCAAAAGTTGAGGCCGTCTTCGTAGCCGAATCCAACGGCAACCATACCGCCCTTCTTCCCATCTTTGCCGATGGCGAGTTTCGTGTACACCCCGCGGTAGTAAGCAATCTTGATGGCATCAACCTCGCTGATTTTGCCTGCGGCATAGGCAGAACCAATCTCTCCACCAGAGTGACCGACGACCATGCTGAAGGTTATTCCTGCACTCCAGAGCACCTTGACCAGGCCGACCTGAAGTGCTGCACAGACTGGTAAGGAAATCTCAGCTTCGCCCAGCCGCGATGTTTTTGGAGGTTTCATAATCTCCTCTTTCAGAGACCACTCTGGTCCGTCGGGGAGTTGTGCCATTGCCTCTTCCATCATCTCGATGACTTGTCTGAATAGCGCACTCTTTTCCATCAGGCCTTGGCCCATGCCTGCCCATTGAGCTCCTTGACCAGTAAACACACCCAAAATCTTGGGTCGTCTGACCTGATCAAACTCCGGAACGGAAGATCGGGTGCCAATCTCTGCGCCAGGATTTGAACCGACTTTGGCAAGTTGCGTCCGGATCCCTTCGAGAACACCGGCTCTGGAGGTCCCAGGGATGGAGATCCTGACTGGCAAAGTGGAACGATGAGAGTTCAGCGTCATGGCCAGGCGTAGAATGGAGACCTCGGTCTTCTGCAGGTACTCTTCATACCTCTCTAGCATGGCACGGAGGGCTGTTCCCGAGCTGGCTGAGAATAATAGAGGGATAGGAGAGAAGTCAGTGTCTGGTGTGACGACACTGTTGGGGAGTTGTCTCAGCTCTTTAGACTTTCCCCAAGGGCCGTTGTCATGAATTTCGGGCACGTAACTTTCCACAATGGCGTGGCAATTAGTGCCTCCAGAGCCAAATCCGTTAACACTTGCCCGTAGCGGTGTGTCAGGAGGAACTACAGGCCAAGCCTCGGGTGAAGTAGCTATTGAAAGGTGTTTGAAAGAAGGCTTTACGCTGGGGTTGAGGTTGTGGAAATGTTGGTTGGGGGGAATGGTCTTATGCCGCATGGCCAGGACAGCCTTAAGAATTCCTGCAATACCAGCACCTAGGTGTCACATATCGTCAGTTCCCCAGACTTCTTCAGGCATCCATATGTTGGGATACTGCTTACATCCTTCTGTGTGACCAATGACGGTCTTGACTGACCCAACAACCAGTTTGGGTCTATGACTGTGGTCTTCTTCAGGCGGGAAAAACGTAGTGGCAATTGCGTATGCTTCTCTAGGATCTCCGGCTTGAGTACCAGTTCCTTAGAAGCGCAAGTTCATTAGTCCATAGTCTCAAAGAAATGAAAAACATCATAGTTCAGGTAACTCACCGTGCGCTTCAATGTATTGTGGGCGATCTTCTGCCTTCGACAGGTCAAGCCCAGCGTTTTTATACGCGGCCCTCATCAACGAGACTTGAGCTTCAGCGCTAGGTAAGGCGATTCCCTGTGTTCGGCCATCCGAGTTGACACAAGTCTCTCGGAGGAGTGCGTCGATTCGATCTCCATCTTGCAACGCCTGAGACAAGCTCTTCATTAAGAAAACACACACGCCCTCACCTCGGGCGTATCCGTCCGCCGCTTGATCCCACATCTGAGACCGACCAGTAGGTGAAAGCAAATGAAGACTGGTCGCAGCAAGGTAGCAATCCGCGTTGAGAATTATATTCGAGCCACCCACGCAGGAGATTTTACACTCGCCAGCGCGCAAGGCCTGAACACCAAGATGCACGGCTGCCAGACTGGACGAGCACGCCGTGTCGACACTGATCGAGGGACCTTTCCAGTCAAAAAAGTACGATAGACGATTCGACAAGAGGGCGCGCGAGGTTCCGGTAATCATGTATTTGGAGACATTCTCGATATCTCTCAGCTGGGTATCTGTGTAATCAGCCGACATGGCGCCCATGTAGGCTGAAGTCGCGCTGCCTCGCATTCCGTTCAAGGTAAGTCCCGCATTTTCCATGGCTTCGTACACCGTCTCAAGCAGGAGCCTTTGTTGCGGGTCGATCGATTCGGCTTCGCGCGGTGCAATACTGAAGAATCCCGCATCGAAATACCGCGGATCTTCCTCAATGAAGTACGCATTGCTTGCATTGCTGGCTCCATGATGTTCACCGTCGACATTGTAAAAGCCCTTGGGGTTGAACCGTGACTCGGCGGGCACTTCTCTCGTGAGATCCCGCGGTGAGTAGAGCAAATCCCACAACTTTGAAGGAGACGTCGAATCTCCGGGAAAGCGACACCCGGTGCCAATAATAGCAATAGGCTCTTTTGGTGAATGTGTGTAAACCATGGCGCCTAAGATGGAGTGCAATAGTATTGCAGAGTAGGCGAGATGTGTGCCAGGATGGATATGTAAGGTTTTCTATTATTGTTCTAGACCTTAGGCTACTAACATGGAATTAGATCGCATATTGGACACCTATTAGGGCCAAGAGCTGTGTATAGCAGGAGCCTTGATCATATTGTGTACGACTTTCGGCCATCCGACGGCCGATACGATTGGTGGCATCACAACCACCGAATTCGGGATGGGGCTATCAACTCGAAAACCGAACCCAAATACCAAGAGAACCACGCGGTTTCTCCGTAATTCTGTTACGGCACACCCACCTTTACGAGTAGAATAGTTACTGATCGAGGGAAGAACACGATTCTTACCTAGACATCGTTCTCGCACCATACCATCTGAATCCAGAAGGTTGGCAATAAGACAATATGGCAACTATACACAAGCTATTCAAGTCGCCCTTCTTCGATTTCGAGTTCCTTCGTCTACTGGCCATGGCGCCACACGAAGGGGCCGAGATCGGAGAGGTACTGGAAGCAGCAGCCAAGATCAAGGACCAAGATCCAGAGTCATGGTATAGCACCCTTCTCGAAACCGGTAGCAAGGCAGAAGCCATCGCAAAAGAAGCTGAGGCCGCCGGAGATCGCGTCGGAGCGCGACGGGCGTACCTGCGATCCTCCAACTACCTTCGTGCAGCGCAGTTCATGCTCAACGAAGGCCCTATCGGACATGATAAAAGAGTCCTTCCCACTATTGAACGAGCCATTGCCAATTTCAGAAAGGGTGTCCAGTATCGTGATGGAAAGACGATCTTCTTGGACATCCCGTACGAGGACGGGAAAACGTTGCCTGGTTATCTCTACCTGCCACCCGCGTTCCGACGTATCCCTGGTCGCAAGATCCCCATCCTGCTCAACTCGGGCGGAGGCGATTCGACTCAGGAGGAAATCTACTTTGTGAACCCAGCGTACGGGCCGGATTTAGGCTACGCAGTCCTCACGTTTGAGGGACCCGGTCAAGGAATCGTCCTCCGTCGCGACAAGCTGCCAATGCGCCCGGATTGGGAATCCGTCACGGGTCCAGTCCTGGATCACCTCTTTGACCTGGCTGCTCGCCATCCCGAGCTCGAATTGGACCTAGACCACATCGCGGTCACTGGCGCGTCGATGGGGGGCTACTTTGCCCTCCGTGCGGCCGCAGACCCCCGGATCAAGGCATGCGTGAGCGTGGATGGGTTCTACAGCTTGTCGAGCTTTGTGGGAGGCAGGATGCCGGGGCCCCTCTTCAATGGCTTTATGAGCGGCTGGCTCTCAGACTGGATGTTCAATGGAATACTCGGCTTTCTCAAGAAACTTGAGTTTCAGGCCCGATGGGAGTTTAACCACTTGAAGTGGGCTACCGGCTCCAAGACGGATGCAGATGTTATGCGTAGCTTCGGCGCCTACACTTTGCAGAACGCCGACGGCACCGAATACTTGGCTGACGTGAAGTGCCCGACGCTGGTGACGGGAGCGGGGGCAAGCTTCTACTTCAACCCAGCCACCACGACAGACAAGATCTACGAGTGCTTGACGAGTCTCAAAGACGGCGTGGATAAGGAGAAGTGGATCGCTACCGATGTCGCGTACGGAGGCCTCCAGGCCAAGATTGGTGCGTTTGGATATTCGGCACAGAAAACTTTCGAGTGGCTCGACCAAAGGTTTGAAATTGAGAGGGAGCCTTTGACGGCTAGCTCGAGGTTGGAAGAATTGGTGACCAGTCTGTAGAGAGTTAGTGGTTGATAACGGCCAACAAGTAAGACAAATCCGTTTAGTCATTTCTAAGAATCATAGGCAGTGAATCCCGTATCCTGGCTCCTGAGATACGCTTGAGTAGACATCCTATGCACATACCCAACAGTCTAAAATTATAATACTTGTCCATAATCTTCCCTTATAATCATTCGTACTCGGTAGGCAATTGTCTTGAGTGTTTTTATATTACTACATCTGCCATACTGGAGGTATTAAAATATGTTTTGAAAAAGACTATATCGTTTCCCGCTGGAATGGAATCAGCATCTACGGTCAACAATATATATTGCTAACATCAAAGTATTTCCGAACCGTGGTCCGTGAAAAATAAGTGAGATTTATAAATGGGACACAGGGAACTAAACCAGGGTTAATAGCCACATTGAGAATAACTCGAATGCGTGCCCTTAATGCTTCCAGCTATTCTTCAGGTATGTAGGTGAATGACTCGATGTACTCTTTGGTGACATTGCCCTATTGGGACTAATCACGTGATAACACACCCGTTACTAGCTTTTGCGTATTTAACCTCGGATCCAGGAAATATGTTAGATTACAAGTCAAATTACCAGAACACCACTCTATATTTAGTATGTACCTTAAGAACTTCAGTATTTAAGTAAAAGACACGGGTAAACCCAAGTTGGTCATGGGTACGGGCTCCGTCCATACCCAACTCCAAGCCTGATCTGTAGCTAAGTTCCACGCTGCTCAATGACAATATCAAGGTCCAGTTCCACCGTACGGTTCGACAACTGTCAAACCCTAAGGAAGCTCGCCTCTCAAACGAGGAAAGATGGGTAGGATGTTACTACCAAGAAGCCAAAACTGTATCTTGGGTCAACGGGCATGGATCAGGCATGTTAACGGAGAGCAGATAGACCTACCCCATACCAACAATAAGAGACATAATCGTCCTTCTCGTCATAGCTAGTGAGAAAACCGGCAAAACAACGCATACTCGCAGCAACGTATGCCAGAGTAACTATCGCCGGTGGTTTCCACAAGGCAATCAACCCCAAAGTCCACGCCACCGTTAGCACGGCCAGTGACCAGCGCGCTACAGGCTGGGACAGCAGTAGCGGGATTGTTTTGCGACCCCGTGTTGTATCAGCGGTGCGGTCACGGAAGTCTTGGGCATGGCCCTACCCAAGTGTGATAGCTATGTTAGCATGTAGTTGCTTGTCTGCCGGGAGAACTCACAGTAGTAGCGAAAATGGCAACTATCATCAGTACTGCGACGGCCTTCAATCCATGTAACTCTTTACCGCCATCTTGAGAACATTATCTGTCAGCATGTACCTTGGCAAAAGCAAGCACCTTGTCAGAGTGAATACCAAAAATGATCGTTGTACCCCAACAGTAGCAACCGAGACCGATAGCTCCGATGAAGTTCTTTACTACTGGAATAGCGGCCAGCCCTCCCTCGTTGTATACCACTATGGCGATCGAATAGACTAAAGTGCACGAGACCGTGTTTGTGTATATGGCAGCAATCCACATCAGTAAGAAAAGGACGTGATAAAGGAGGGTAGCTTGTCCTGGTGTGATCCTGCCAGAGGGCAAGGGCCGATGTGGCTTTGCTATGCCATCCTCTTCTATACCATCGATCTGACGTTCCGATAAGTATTTCTTGTCATTCTCGTCTTGTTTGTCGTTACACGGTATAACTAACCTGGTTTTTGACCTAACCATGTCAATATTAGATTGCCTCGTTTCAAAGAAGAGTGCTTCTGGACGCACCTGGAACGTGAGAAGATGTAGTTGATTCCACAGAAACCCGGTGATGATCAGGTGAAAGCCACATGGTGCAGCAAGCACGAGGGCTACGGCCATCTGCTCTCAGTATCAGCCATTGGCCTTTCCTGTCCGTGGAGCGAGAGTTAGCACCACTACGTACAGAAGGTAAAGCGGCTGCTGGGATGTCCGATTTGCCGAACAGATATAAAGTCTTCATAAAACTGAAGGGGAGCCTCCCCAACCCTAGAACGCTTTCCATTTCTGCTGCAGAGTAAGGGTGCTACGACAACTGCTGGATATTGATGCCTGGTAAGAATAAGCCTATCTGGAACCGTGGACGGCTTGGTAGGATACCTTATAAGGGCCAGGTCGCCAGAAAGGTCCTTTAGAAAGGTTCAGAAGTTTCGCCATTCGAGCAGTCAGACTCTGACTGTGCCGCTTGGCCTTGCCACGCCATCACAGTATCATCATACCCACAAGTAAGCGCTATGGTACAGATAGTGAGTCCCTAGAGCTGCAATCATCTTCTCATTCAGGGCCTTACGCCGTTATCGTATGTTTCCCGAACTAATCGGAATACAAAGTGGGACGGTGGAAACAGACAGAGTATTGCCTTTACTAGACATGGACAGAGATAGAATAGGCAATATTTGCTGTAAAAACTATACCAAATGAAACAGGCTCGCAAGGTATGACGGCCAATCCTAGATTGATCCCTACGGCAAACCTAATTTATTTCTCGGGCTTTGGTTTTTCGGCAATGCTCCCTAATGCTACTTCCGAGCTTTGAGGAATTCGGATGTAAGCTGATTCTTTTGAACGCTGGACTCAAATAACACTGAAAGATCTGAGACCTAGACCTGACAAGTCAATTGCCCATTATTCAGATAGCTCCATACAACATGGCCGACGAACTGCCTACCCTTCAGATCAGCTGCGTGGCCTTGGTGGCCTTCTTAGTTGTGCTGGCGTTCAGAACTCGTACGAAAGACTTCAAACAGAACGTCCCTCCTGGGCCAAAGCCATTGCCGGTTATTGGAAATCTCTTGGATCTCCCCTCCAAAGGGCAGCCCGAGTACGTGCACTGGTTCAAGCACAAAGATGCCTACGGTCCTGTCAGCTCCATCAATATCATGGGGACGACACTCGTCATCTTCCATGACAAGGACGCTGCCCACGCTGTCATGGGGAAGAAGGCCCAAAAGACATCTGCGAGACCCCAGCTCAACTTTGCTCAACTATGTGGGTTCGAGAACTTTCTCATCACCCATCAGTATGACGACAAGTACCGCCTGCACCGGAAAATGGTTCACCAGGAGATTGGGACTAAGGGGCTCTCTGCTGGCTTCCGCCCCATTCAGGAGCAGGAATCTCTTCGTTTCATCCTACAGACGTTCAATCGGCCGGACGACATCTTGCACCACTTGAAAACGTAAGTCCCCTACGACTTGGTGCTTGCCCTTACACACTATCTCATGCTTTATAGTTTGGCTGCAGCCATCGTTTTGAAAATCACCTATGGCTATTCGATTGAGCGAGACAGCCCCGACCCGTTGGTCGAGTTGATCGAGCACACCATGGAGAACCTGTCCAAAGCATTTGTTCCCCTTTCTTGGGCCGTTGACGCCGTGCCTGCTATCAAGTATCTTCCTGACTGGTTCCCCGGCATGTCGTATCGGAAGACTGCCCAAGAATGGAAGGCCATCAACGAGGCCGCGGCGGAACTCCCCTATGACTTTGTTAAACGCCAGATGGCACACAAAGCCCACAGTCCTTCATACGTATCCAATCTTCTCGAAAAGAATATGACCAAGTCCGACACCAATGAGATTAACTTGGCTGCGGCCGACGAAGAGGCTATCAAGTGGACTGCGGTCAGCCTCTATGCCGCCGGCTCCGACAGTACAGTCGCCATCATCCACAGCGTCATCTGTGGTCTTGTCATGTTCCCCGAGGTTGTCACAAGGGCGCAGGAAGAGATCGACCGAGTTGTCGGCTCCGATCGGCTCCCCAACTTTGACGACAGAATTAATCTGCCTTACATTGACGGCATTATCAAAGAAGCCTGGCGATGGAATCCTGTTGGACCCATGGGGTTGACGCACAAGTCTGAAGAAGATATAGTCTGCGGAGAATATCTCATCCCTAAGGGCTCCTATCTTCTTCCTTCTCTCTGGTGGTTTTTGAACGACCCCAAAGAGTACCCAGAGCCGCGGGTCTTCAAGCCGGAGCGGTATATGGAGCCCTTCAACCACCCTGATCCTAGTGAAATTGCTTTTGGTTACGGCCGAAGGTCTTGTGCTGGTCGTTTCTTTGCGGACGCCAGTGTCTACATTACCGTCGTCCAGCTGCTGGCTGCGTTCAACGTTCGCAAGGCTAGAGATGAGCAAGGAAACGAGATTCCTGTCACTCTCGAGGCGATCCCCGGCATGGTCAATCGCCCCGCTCCCTTTGAGTTCAAGGTCGAGCCTCGCAGTCAGCACCACATAGATCTTCTCCGCCGCATCGAGTCGGAGCAGATACCCGAGGTTAGCCATGCGAGCCTTCTCAGAACGAGTACAGTCTAGGACCAAGATATAGATAAATGGGGGTCGCTCAGAACATCCTAAGCTTTTTAATCCAACTCGGCGCTCGCAATTGTTGTCAAAGGGTTACGTTAGTTTGAGCAAATACACAGTACATGTCTAAATATGGATCAGACCCTTATCACCTTGATTTTTTGAATCATTATCTGCCTTAAAATCCATGTAAATGTCCAGTACCGGCAATCACTGCCTCTGGATCGGTCTTCGGTAGTGGAGGATAATATCGGCGACCACCATATTGGGTATCGTTTACCGAACGCATGCTCAGCGCCAGACTATCCATAGATGGCAACACATTCTAATATAGCATATAGTTTATTGATTCAGCAACAGGTGCTCTTTTTTGTGTCTACTTATCTATTAGTGGATGCGAGTATCAGAAATGGATTACCATTATCTTCAGGATGAAGTTCTGCGACAGAGTCTGCAAAACCCGGAGGAGTTCTGGTTGCGACAGGCCGAACGCCTCCACTGGCACAGGAAACCTGATACTGCACTCCGGACAGCCCAGAAGAGTCTGCAAGATGGCACCACGCACCCGACGTGGGAATGGTTCCCCGGTGGGGAAATCTCCACGTGCTACAATTGCGTCGACAGGCACGTCGCTGCGGGAAACGGACACGAATCGGCGATTTACTACGACAGTCCAGTCACAAATACAAAGGAGACAATCACGTATCATACACTCCTCAGGGAGGTGGAGACGCTGGCCGGCGTCCTGAGAGAGACAGGGGTCAAGAAGGGCGATGTCGTCATGTTGTACATGCCCATGATCCCGGCTGCCTTAGTTGGCATGCTTGCTGTCAATCGTTTGGGAGCTATCCACTCAGTCGTGTTCGGGGGGTTTGCGCCAAACGCTCTTGCTCAGCGAGTCGAGGCTTGCAAGCCAGAGGTACTTCTCACCGCATCGTGCGGAATAGTTGGGAATAGGCCGCCGATTGCGTACAAAGGACTCGTCGAAGAAGCGATAAAGCTCGCATGTCACAAGCCTTCCCACACAATCGTATGGCAGCGCGACCAACTACGTTGGAACTTCCAGAAGTCTGTATCTAGTTGGTGGAGGAATATATGGCGCTGGATCCGACAAGTTCTCTTCCGTCGCAGGACGAACACTGCAAAACAATCATCATGGCAGGAGCTCGTGGCCAATGCCAGGGCACGGGGCGTCAAAGCCGACTGCGTACCCGTCCAGAGCGATCAACCCATCTATATCATGCACACCTCCGGTACGACAGGAGCACCGAAGGGTGTGTTGCGCAATTCAGGCGGCCACGCGGTTGGCCTACAATTCACCATCGAGTACATATTTAACATCCACGGCCCCGGAGACGTCATGTTTGCGGCGTCAGATATTGGGTGGGTGGTCGGTCACTCTTATATCCTGTACGCGCCATTGCTGGCGGGAGCGGCCACCGTTTTATACGAAGGCAAGCCGGTAGCAACACCTGATACGTCTGCCTTTTGGAGGGTGGTGGAGCAGTACAAGGTGAGTACCATGTTCGCGACGCCAACAGCGCTGCGCGCCATCAAACAAGAAGACCCAAGTAATACAAAGCTGTCTGAGATTGGAGCGCGTGGAGGCCTGCGATCATTACAAGCTCTGTTCCTCGCTGGCGAGCGGTCAGAGCCCACCCTCGTCTCCATGTACCAAGAGCTACTGGATCAGCACGGCAGAAAGAATGCACAGGTCATCGATAATTGGTGGTCAACCGAAGCCGGGTCTCCGATCACCGGCCGAGCGATTGCGCCTCATATCGGGTTGGGAAGTAAGGTGCCGAAAAGTTTAGACATTCCTCCGATCAAGCCTGGAAGTGCTGGAAAGCCCATGCCAGGATTCGATGTTCGGGTAGTGGACGAGCAGGGTGAAGAGGTACCAAAAGGGTCGATGGGTAATATTGTGCTCGCCCTACCTCTTGGGCCGACAGCATTCAACACGCTGTGGTCGGATGAGGAGAGATACTACAAAAGCTATTTGCAGAGGTTTGAATCCAGGTTTCTGGATACTGGGGATGCGGGATGGGTTGATCAAGATGGCTATGTTCATGTCATGAGTCGCAATGATGATGTATTGAACGTCAGCGCGTATCGACTATCCAGTGGTCAGTTCCAAATCCCCCTTTTTGACACCGTTCCAGTTACTGATTTTATAACGCGTGTAGGAGCCATTGAGGAGGCCATCTCGTCACATCCACAGATTGCAGAAGCGTGCGTCGTTGCTATCCCAGATCAGCTCAAAGGTCAGCTCCCCTTTGCATTCATCTCGCTCTCCGTGCCGGATCACCCAGAATCGGCCATACCAGCAGCAACCGTTGCAGCAGAGGTTCAGTCACTGGTACGGAGTCGGGTTGGAGCATTCGCCTCATTGGGAGGTATAGTGCAGGGCAAAGGCATGATACCGAAAACGAGGTCCGGCAAAACATTACGGCGTGTGCTTCGGGAGTTGGTGGAGAATGGGGTCTACGGGGACTTGGATCGGAGTGTCGAGGTCCCAAGCACAGTCGAGGATGCGACGGCTGTACAAGTGGCGAGAGCCAAGATTCGGGAGTACTTTAACAGAAACAAGGGTAAGCACAAGGCGATTGAGGCAAGGGAGACGGCATGAAACCGCAATATGCAGATAAAGTATCTTCCGTGCAAAGCTAAGATTCTATATAATATGTGAAAAGAGCAAGCTCTTGTGCCAGAAAGGTGGGGAATTGTCAGAGACGGTTTCTAGCCCGGTAATAATCTCCGGAGTCTCATCGCTGTTTCCACTGAGGATTGCTTCGGCCAATATGTGATGGAGCTCACGCTCGGAGACAAGCATGTAATCCAGACCTCTCAACGTAGAAATCACAGCCTCCGAACCTCCACTGCTATCTATATTTTGAATGAATCCGAGCCCTATGATTGGGCCAAGGTTGATAACCGAGGCAGGCAGGTTGCGAGCTCGTCTCTGGGACACCAAACCGGTCATAAACTACAAAGTGGTCAGCATGTCATGACTCAAATGAACACGGGAAGAAACCTACATTGTTAGCAGCATCATAGTTGGCTTGGAATGGCTGCCCAACCACAGCCGAGATGGACGAGAACAAGAGAAAAAAGTCAAGATCCTCACTAGAGAAGACCTCATCGAGGACCAGAGACCCGTCCATCTTGGGCTTCAGGACTTCCTGGAGGGTGTCGTACGTCAGATCCGCGAAGAAACAATTGGACTGAAGCATTGCACCGTTGGCCACGCCCCCGATGGGGGGCATAGTGCTCAGAATGTGGTTGCGCAGGTTGATCATGTCTTGCTTCTTTGTAACATCTGCTGCCTTGATCACAACATTGGCGCCTTGATTTTCTAGCTCTTTTGTCCAGAGTTCGTCCTTGTTGGGATTCCTATTACTGTTAGTAACTACCACATCACAGTCTTGTATGTACGCACCGGCTCGTGATCACAATGTGGCGCCCACCACTCTGTACTATCCATCTGGTGATAGACTGGCCCATTTGCCCGCTAAGACCGATGAGAACATACGTCTTGTTCGGTGAGAAAAGATCTGAAGGATCAATGGGACGAACAAGGGTTCCAGACTCCTTCTCAAAGGGATCTGTTGCCTTCACTCTCCGCCTCGAACAGTTGAGACGATCGTTGCGCTTCTTGTCGAAAAGCACCCTCGGGATGAGAAGTCTCCCCCGTTGAACGGACAGCTCGGGTTCGACAGTCCACAACCTATTTGAGCTATCATCTCTCATTCTAACGCCCCCGATGAACCGAAGGAAACTCTCCGCGACAAGAGTCTGGTTGCCATCAATCTGGTCCAAATCGAGGAGCTGCAAATCCTTCTCCGGTTTTTCAGCTTGGACGGCTCGCACAAGTCCAATTGTACCGCTCTGGTGCGGGTTTAGATTTCCAGCGCTATAAGTGACCCACAGGGCCATCTTGGACTTGGTTAATAGCTGATGTAGGCCTCGAAAGGTATCACGACCGAGAGTTTCCAGCACTGACTGATCTAACTCGGTCAGACTAAGCACAGCTTCCACTTGGTCAAGGGGTCGGCTCTCCAACTCGGTCAGTGACCTAATTACGAAGATTTCCCCATCCCAGACACCTCTTAGTCTGCTATGGACGGTCTCGATGAATTGTTTAATATCTTGCGAGATGCCACCTATCACAAGAAGTGTTCCTCTGGTAGTAAATGGCGGTGTCGAGTCAAGGGGACTTTTGAGAAAGTTGACTTGATCATCGACGGCCTGTGACAAGATGACAAATGGTGATTGCTCTTCTGGATCCTTGCCCCACATATCAACACCAGAAAACCCAACCCTTTGCAACGTGTGGTGTATTTCCTTGCGGGTAGTGTCTGTTGCTTCCGGCGGAATGGCCTCTGTTCCCATCATCTTCATCAGTAGAAAGCCCCCTGGCTTTAAGAGGCCTCTTATGGATTTCAAAGTAGCAGACTCCTCTGTGGAGACCTTCAGAGGAATTACCAAGTCGAAAGAGCTCACGTCGACTAAGCTGTTGGCCGTTACTTCGTCCAACGTTCCAATACCCCTTAGAATGTCGAGGACCACGAAGTTGATAGCTGTGTCGCCTGATATCGTCTCTCGCCTCATATCTTCTATGCCCTTGTCCGATGCATCCGCAATCGTGTATGAGCCCATGAAATTTCCCAGCTCCTGACATAAAGCGTGTACAAAGTTGGTGGAAGAGGTTCCAATCTGGAGAATTTTTAATTTCGCATAGCGATGCGAGGCCAGTCTGGTTGCCGCCAGTATATACTTGTGAGCCTGCGACAGCCCAAGGCGCTCGTAAAAGGAAATATGATCCACTTGCTCGAGCACTGCTCCCGAGAGGATGTCTGGTCGCCATATCTTTTTTAAGTAGAGTAGTTTGTCCTGCCTCTCGGTAGAAGGACTTATGGGAGTCATGGTGACACTTTCGAGGCGGAATTGTAACTGCCCAGTCTCTGAACTGTAGACGTTGACGTCTCCATTAATCTTTGGTAACTCCGATTTATACCCTACAGTATATTCCCGTAGGTGGGCCTCGACAGATACTGATGCTTGTGTATCGAGGCCGAAGAATGAATTCGGAAATAATGCCAGACGCCTGATTTTTGTAGGCGTGAAGGTCGTCCACAATGAACCGTCCCGAGGGGCTGCAAAGGCAAGTAAAAGCGTTTGGAAGCAGGCCTCCAGCCTCGCTAGGTGGAGTAGAGCTGATATACTTGCTACTTCCTGGGTCGTCGGCGCGACGACAGCGGATGCATAATTCATACGCCTCGAAGCAGAAGTCAAAGCTCTCAAAGGTCCACTATAGCTCAGGCCTACTTCGCTCAGGGAATCGTAAAATTGCTTGATGTTCACAGGTCTCAACCCACACGGCCTGGGTGGTCTGGAGGAGGATAATAATTCTAACTCGTCGTCTGCGAAAGTCATACGTAACCTTCCCTTCGCAATAGTGGCCGTGGTTACGTTCTGCGCGACGCTCCCATTAAGACTGAACTCTGCCTGGATGGCGTCAATTCCATCATTAGCAGAGTCGATGAGACTGCCTATAGAGAGAGACGTCTCGATCTCCACTAAAGATGATTCTAGTACGATCGGTGGTCCGAAGGTAACGTCAGAGAGCTCGATGCTGTCTGCTTGTTTACCATTGCTGATATCCATCGCCGCCGCAAGGGCCATGACGCAGAACATAGCAGTAGGGATAACGGGCTGATTCTGTATGTGGTGATCCCCTAGCCCCGGCTGGTCTTCTAACTTGAAGACACTCCGCCATGTCGGCTCAGATTCCGTAGCACCCAGGACTCGTCTCCCCAAGAGTGTGTTAGGCAATTTTAGCATGACTGGTTTAGCTGAAACGTATCGAGAGGAGTACTCCCACCTCATGAGAAGTGTCGGGTCCAGAAGTTGCAAGTTCCGGAAACCGCAATATTCGAAAGTTTCAGAGGGGGAGGAGCAAAGCTAGCTGGGACCTCGACATTCGGACTAATTCGGTGGACATAGGGTCCTCCAGACCCTACGTGCAGTAGCTACAGTGAGGCCAGCAATTAATGCCACAATATTACGCCTGGAAGCTCACTTCAATCAGCTCCTACAGGATCATCCGCAGCTAAATCGTTTCTTACGATTATCTTCCAGATCGCGAAACTAACAATTATTTCAAACGGCCTTTAGTAAACTGTGATATATCCGTACATGCAGACGTTCTTCCTCCGTACATGACTCAGGCGCTAACTGCCATTGTATCTTTCTTTGCAGGGTACTTTTGAGCCATATAAGTCAGATCGCCCCTCACAACGTATCCAATATGGCTCAGTGCGAGCAGTTCCTTCATCTGCGGGCTCAGCGTCTCTTGAAGTTCCTTTGGCAGCTTGGCTGACCAGTTTGTCAGAGGTCGCATGTGGGGCGCAGAGTAATAGGCGAAAAGAATGGCTCGATCCTCGTCCTTGGTGACGTTGGCACCAKAGGTGTGCCAGAGGCGCCCATCAATCACAACAATATCGCCCGCATCGGCTTCAAATGGGACCAGCAGATCCGGTGCATTATCGGGCACATCCTCCCAGGTGGTCCACTTGTTTGAGCCTGGGATATACAAGGTTGCACCATTCTCCTTGGTCATCCTCGTCAGGCACCAAATCACGTTGACTGCCCAGATATCCAACCACGGCGCTGGAAGGACGATGCTCTGGTCCGAGTGTAGAGCCATGCTCTCCGCGCCAGGGCGAGCAATGTTGGCAGAGAAGTTGCTGACCAGCACCTGTTCGCCTAGCAAGGACTTGGCCAAGTCTAGCCCGGTCGGGTTGATGAGCATGTCTCGCCAGTATGCGTCCAACTCGGGGAGATAAAAGACGCGCACGTTTGCCGGGTTAKGATCCAGGATAGGCTGGAAAGTGCCTTCGCCACGAGCCTCAGAGGCAGCCTTCGCCTGCCAGAGACGATCGAGTGCATCTTTAGCTTCTTCTTTGGACAGGACGGCAGGGATCTTGACCCAGCCATGCTCTTTTAGATGAGCCTTGGCGTCTTCCATGTTTAGCGTCATGGTCTCGAAGAGGGTCCCTAGATTGTTGATGGTTTAGGGGTGCATTCTCGCTCTTGAGCCCTAGGGACAGTTGCTGACTAGCTAATAGTGCCTTCGTGATTACTCAGTTTGTCGGCAATTTACTTGTAGTGTTCGGTAAATTCGGTTACTTACGAAAGGAAACAGGGCCGAAGACCTCCGAAGACATATCTCTAGAATATTACTGACATCTCTGTCGAGTAAAACAATTTGGAGGGGACAGTTGATTTGATCTGCATTAATCACTGTTTTAGACAGAAACGGGTGGTATCATGAGGCTTTTATAACCTTCACCGCAATTGTACCCAGGACTTAGTGCTTGAGTAGGTAATCAATATATATTTAGCAATACAGGTAGGAAGTCGTACTAAGGGCATTCGTCATCACCCACTGGGGACTGCAATAATAATTCCCTCTAGGCAGCAATGCGTCAGCCCTGAGGATACATAACTTTTTTGTCCCATCTTGTGAATGCTAACTCCTCTCCGACTCACTCAGATTTGACAATGGATCAGACTATGAAGCCCCTTCTCCCACCCACAGAACAACCACGTCGACATCTGACGGCTTCTACAATCTCCGTAAGCCAACTAAATGAATGGTCGAGAATCAGGCTCAGAAAGTGAACTGCTAACGCCATCATCAACAGTTCGTTCTACCAAATCAATTCAGTCTCAGCACGCTTCTTTGCATCGGCTCTCTTATGCAGATCATCCTCTGCGCCATCCTCCCCCTCCGCTACGCCGTTGTCCCATGTACAACTGTCCTTCTCACATCCATCTTCACCACGATCCAAAATTGCTTCCAGCCGAAAACGAATCCTTTCATGACCGATGTCGTTCCGGGAAGGACTACCGCGCAGATCCCAGGCAAAGATGGAAAGTACGGCCCTGAGCCTGGGAAGGGCTCCGTGGTCGTGTTCCACCTGGGAATACAATACAATCACCCCCTGGGGATCTTTGCACCGCACATGCTCGAAATCTCAAACAAGTTTCTCGCCATGCAACAGGATATACTCCGCCGCAAGGACGAGCTCGGCCTGCTGGCGGTTCAGAGTTGGCGAGGCAGCGAGCGAAGCTCCAATAACACCACACTGGTAAAGTATTTCTTCAAAGACGTGGAAAGTATCCATAAATTTGCCCACGAACCGCTACATAAGGAGGTTTGGGCGTACTATAACCAATATCACCCCGGCCATGTGGGTATCTTCCATGAGACGTTTGTCACGACAGATGGCGGATATGAGAGCATGTACGTAAATTGCCATCCAATTCTGCTTGGAAGAGGTGAGGTGAAGGTCAATAGTCGCAAAGACGGCACCGAGGAGTGGATGGGGACACTGGTCAGTGCGGATACACCGGGTTTGAAGTCTTTTAAAGCAAGATTGGGCAAAGATAATTAAAGGTCGTGGGAATGCCCTCCTCCAATGACAAAAGTTGCGCCGTTTCAGATACATGAGTTCCGTAGATCTGACAGGCAAATGACCCCTGTCCAGTAGTTCTTTTGACCGTCTCCACTCGCCTATATCCTTAGTTTTTTACTTCTCCATTTGCATCTCCGTTCGCCTTTCCGTTCGCATTTCCGTTGGAAACCTCCGGTATGGGGATTGGCCCCCCTGGAGAGTTTTCCAGTCTCGCCGTCAAAACCTCGACGCCCGTCTCCGTAACAAGCAGAGTATGTTCTATCAATTTCAAGTTAGTATCTAGAGCCTGCAACTGGCCTCAGAAAGGTCTATACGCACCGAATTGTGCTGTCCGCTTCCCGTCCACCGTAACGTTTGTCCAGTCATCAGGCCAATACTTTTCTCGGTTGCCGCCCAAAGCCAGGATCGGTTCAATCGTGAATGTCATCCCGGGTTTGCAGGTTCCCACCGCCTTGTTCTTCGCGTAGTGGGGGATCCAAGGAGGAGGGTGGAATTCCGAGTTGATACCATGGCCGCCCCAAGTCTTGATGACGACAAGACCCCTCGAGGCTGCGTGCTTCTCAATAATCTTGCCAAACTCTCGAATCGGAACACCAGGTTTGACGATCTCAATAGCCATGTCCAAGGCCTCGCGCGTCGTTTCAACGAGTCTGACCGAGTCCGGATCCGCTTTGGCCTTGTCACCGACGTAGTAGGTCTCGTTCAAGTCGGCATGATATCCACCGTGGTACAGAGAAACGTCCAAGTTGAGAATATCTCCATCAAGAAGAATTCGCTGATCAGGGATGCCGTGGCATACCACCTCATTGGGAGATGTACATATTGACTTGGGAAAGTGGTTGTAGTTGAGTGGAGAAGGATATGACTACCTCCCAGTTTAGCAAGCAGCTTGACATATTTCACACAGGCGTGACCGGCACTTACATCTCGCTCAATGCAGGCATTGTGGCAGATTTCATCCAGGTAATCTGTGGTCACGCCGGGCTTCACGGCCGCGGCAGTGATGTCGAGTACTTCTCGAGCCAATCTGCACACTTTGCGCATGGCCTGTTGGCCCTTTGCATCCAAGAGGTCCCATTTTGACCTGCTCAAGCGCATCTCACGCCTTGGAATGCCAGTCTCGGCCCAGTCGGGTCGCTTGATTGATTTGGGGACCGATCGTCGTGGGGAGAGTGGATATACGGGTCTGACCGAGCCAGTGAATGCGTACGTCGGAAAGGGGTTGTAAAGTCCGCTAGCTGTACCGCGATTAGCGAACCAGTCTTTGAGTTGTGTGCCGCCCGGGAGGGGCGGTTACCATTTTGTGTTTTGTGCATCGTCGCCTTGTGTGTGGTCTGGATATAATCAACATGAGTAGCTCAGGGATAAGACGTTCGCGCAGATGCGACCTACCCAGTTCTTCTTGAAGCAGTCTTGAGAGCAGAAGTAACTGCCTTTGACGCCGAGCTTCAGACACGTGGGGCATTGTAAGGTCCCCGCTTCATTGTCGCAATCAGTCCCACAGCACTTTTTCTTGGGATCGGAGTCGAACATTGCCGCGGTGATCACGATTCTCTGCTCTGAAGGGTCCAAGAAGATTTCTTATTATTATATCGAATTTCACGCGATGATGAGCGATGACGGTGAAGAAGGAGAGTTTGTTGGGAGAGTGAGATGGTGGTGAAATGTAAGTTGTCAGGTTACCGCTCATTACAAAGAAGATCAGATCCACTACCACGTGACCATCTACGACCTGACCCAAATTCGGATTATTTACATCATTTACATAAGCAGATCCGATTCAAAGCGATCGAAACAGGCCAAAGAAGGCGGTCAGATGGAGCACTAGTGCACTACCGTAAAATGCGCCTAAAGTGTATTGTAAAGTGAAATGGGCGAGATTGTGGGATTCCCCGTTACTAGGCAGGTACTAGCAGGATACTGCTCACGCCACATTTACTACTAAGTTTCGGGTAACCAGAAGTGGGGCATCCTACCCCATAAACACAAGTAAATACTAGATAAATTTATTGCTCGGTAATTATTTTCAAATTTACATATCTGGTTTTACTAACTAGTTACCTCAAGTGGTTGAAAATGTTGTCACTTAATACCTCCAAGTATCCCAAGAGTGATCCGACATCAATTAATATCACATGACCTGGGTGGTCGGGGGTGTATTGAACTGATGGACTAGTTCAGCCTGGTTTGTATTCAGACAGCCAAAAGACACATCACGCATGGCAGCCGCTGGTAGTGTATGTGTGAATTCAATGCAGTACAGAGTACATACATGTATCGCTTATCCAAGACGGAGGCAATCCATCCTAGCGGGTCGACCCGACTCAGCGCCGAGGTTTCACGAAAGCCCCTCGGTGACAGTGACCAAGGTGGCGGCCAAGATGCAAAGAAAGGCTGGAACATTCACCAACAGTGTTCGTGCGCGGTGTTTGGGCAGCCATTCCTGGAGCGCGTCTTCGTTTCGGACGCCGGCGGTCTTGACATCGCCAATGCGGCCGAGGATAGCAAACATGGTCGGCCCCCAGCAAAAGTGAGCGATACTGAACAGCGCGCCGGCAAAGTACAGGTTGCGAGCCTCCCCACTCTGTCGGCTGAGTCCATTGATAACACAAAGGACGGTGGCAGGGGGGTAGGTTAAGCCGATACCCCAGATCCCAGGACTCATGAAAGCGGGCAGGTATCGAGGGAGGATTCTGCCACTCGGGTGGGCTGCGTCGTTGCGTAGGGACGGGTGTAAGAAAGCCCCCAGAGAGATGTCCTGTGACCAGCTAAACATCAAGGATGCGGACGAGATGACCAGTGGGGAGATGCGGAGAAGGGCTGTTCCCAACTGGGAGACATCATTGTTGGAGCCCAATAAAGAGGTCATTGTAGGACTGTGAGGGGCCAGAACTCAGAATCTCTAATAGCGATCGAACGAATCTGATCCAAAGCTTGACCATTCGACTTTAATAATAGCATGTACGTACTAGCGTTACAATCATTTACGCCGAGACTATCGGGGCGAACTCATCATGCAATGACCCATCACGCCAGGCGGGATATCCAGTGTCCCTTGGGAGAGGATTCTTCTTGATAGAGAGATAATCCTCTTGTTACAGAGACCGAGAGACACACTGTTTTGCGGTAATGCTTGCTATATGACTTTCATTCTGCCTGACCTTGTCATATTCGGCGAGGGCTCCGCATTGGGATCCGAATCGGCTTCCCCGAATCCTGAGGTTATACGCTGTACGCAGCCATACCTGACACAGGAGGCATAGAGGAGATGATATTACTCCTGTTCGGCAACGGTCTCGGTCTGGAAGTGAATTCATTTTGCCGACACCGAGATACCCATCCATCGCAAACAGGAGAGCTGTACATGTAATTTCAAAGGGATCCGAGAGTACGAATCATGCCAATGAATAGCCACGCGCAATCCATTTTGCGTTCTATCGCAACCCACTATACTCCGTTTCTCCTGCCTCGGATTCATTTTCCAGTGCCGTAACAAGGGTGCATTTCTTGACCATGACTAGAATAAGTCCAGACTACGATGCAGTCGTCATTGGCGCAGGCTTCAGTGGTGTCCGATCTCTCTGGGAGCTCCAACGACTGGGCTTGACAGCAAAATGCTTCGATGCCGGATCAGATGTAGGGGGCACCTGGTGGTGGAATCGCTACCCTGGCTGTCGGACTGATGGCGAGGCTTGGGTATACGCTTTAAAATTCCTGCCAGAGCTGTTGGAAGAATGGGACTTTACCGAGCGCTATCCTCCACAGGAGGAGATCCAATGGTATCTAAGTCGTGTCCTTGACCGGTACGACCTACGCAAGAACATCGAGTTCAACACAGAAGTCAAATCAGCCCACTACAGTGATCATGACAATCTCTGGACGATCACTACGGCAAATGGGAGTGTGGCCACCGCGCGATACTTCCTCCCTGCGACCGGTATCACTTCTATTCCCAAGGAGACGCCATTTTCTGGGCTTCAGTCGTTCAGAGGGGAGGTATATCAGACTTCAACGTGGCCAGAGCACGAGGTCGAGTTCCAAAACAAGCGAATCGGTGTGATCGGCACAGGTTCGACAGGCATTCAAGTCATCACCAAGCTGGCCCCCGTTGCTGAACAGCTGACTGTTTTTCAACGGACACCGAATTATGTTATCCCGGCGCAAAACTATCCTCTCGACGAGCAAAGAAGGGAAGATGTGAAGAAGGCTTTTGATGCCACCTGGGATATTGCCAAAGTAAACCTGGCCGGTCACGCGGTGAAGCATTCGGGGAAAACGGTCGCGAGTGTTGGCGATCCAGAAGGGATCCAAAGTGCCTTCGAAGATGGCTGGGCGCGCGGTTGTTACGATTTTCAGCTCGGCACATTCGACGATTCCTTCATGCATCCCGATGCTAACGCGGCCACGTCGGACTTTATTCGTGAAAAAATCCGCTCTATCGTTCGCGACCCTGAGACCGCGGAGGTTCTATGCCCAACCTATCCCTTCGGTGCAAGACGTCCTCCTTGCGCAGATGGATACTACGAGACATTCAATCGATCGAATGTCAAGCTCGTTGATATCAGCAAAGACGAGATCAAAGTCTACGAAAAGGGTATCAAGACTGTCTCCGGAGCGGAATATGAGCTGGACATAATCATCCTGGCACTCGGCTTCGACACGGGCACTGGAGCCATGAACAAGATTGACATCAGAGGGAGCCAGAACAAGTCACTGCGGGAGTCTTGGACGCAGAGACTAGAAACATTCGCTGGCGTTTTGGTCCATGGTTATCCGAACATGTTCATTGTCTGTGGCCCTCATTTGCCCGCAGGGAACCAGCCCGTCAGTCTAGAAGCATTCGCAAGCTGGATCGGCAAGACCATTGAGCATATGGAAAAAAAGGGCCTCGCCAGCATCGACGTATCGAACGAAGCCATGAATGCGTGGACGACACACGTCGAGCAAGTATGGGGTGGTTCATTCCTAGCCAAACATGCTCACGAGCAAGGCTCTTGGTTCGTCGGGACGAACATTCCCGGGAAGCCGTCCAGAATCATGTTCTACTTTGGTGGAATGGTCAACCTGGAGCCTTGGCTCATTAAGGAACTGGAAACTGAGTGGTCAAGCATGAACTTTACGCCTCTTGACGGGGCTAAGGCTAGCAATGGTGTGTCAAAACAAACTGTCGGCGGGGTCCACGTAACACCTGAGATGCTGGAGTCTGTTCAAATACCTCTTGAAGCCGACAAAGTCGGCATGACCCCAGCGGAGAAATCCAAGCTCGTCAATGCTGCTACCGCTGTTTACATTGATACGGCTGTCAAGGAAATGAGGATGCGTGGACTGGGTCCGAAGCAAGACTACAGGGTTCACTGGTGGAAAGTGATGCAAGACTTTGTTGATTCCGAGGAGGGGCAAAGGGTCCTCCAGGAGACACCCTTGACCAAGGAAGAACTCGAAAGATTGATCTCGAAATTAGGCATTGAAGGCGAGGTGATTGCAAGAATGGGTCCAGAGATCGTGAACATCCTGACCGGAAAAACCCACGCCCTTGCGCATATTATGAGAGACGATCTGCTCTTCCGCGTGTATCTCTCGGACGAAGGTAGGCGGGCCAACCGCTACATGGCCGAATACGCCAAAATCCTCACCTCACAGCGGAGAGATATCAGAATCCTCGAGATCGGCGCTGGGACCGGGGGCACCACTACGGAAGTCCTCAACCTATGCAGCCCCAACGGAGAGTCGTTCTGTGCCAAATATATGTACACAGATCTCTCGCCGGGCTTCTTTAATGCTGCCAAGACATCGCTGAAGAAATGGGAGCCCCTCTTGTCATTCAAGGTTCTCAACATTGAGGATGACCCTGCGAGCCAAGGCTTCGAAGAGCACACATACGACCTGATCATTGCTGCCAACGTCATCCATGCCACGGCACGTCTAACGAACACGTTGAGCAATGTACGCAAGCTACTAAAGCCCGGCGGTGTCTTCGGGCTTGTAGAGCTCACCAGGTTAACTCCTTTCTATAACCTTGCGTTTGGTCCGCTTTCTGGGTGGTGGGCTGGTGTTGACGAGGGGAGAACAGAGAGTCCCTTACAGTCTCCTCAACAGTGGAACGATTTGCTCAAGCAGACTGGCTTCTCTGGCGTTGATCTGGCTGCGTATGATCTGCCTGGACCAGAGAGACATAGCTGTCTGTTGCTGTCCACAGCTATCGCCAATCCTGTCACCAATGGGCATTGATACCGTTTAGTTAGACAGACATGAATATTTGAGGCTATGTTGAGACTATCTCTGTACATATCAACTCCTTTTCAACTCTATTTTACTCCGCAGGTATGACAACTAGCTTTCAATCGTACGCATAAGGCATACCCTGATTATTCAGTACTACTGCTCCGAATTCTCCTGCTTTAGTCCAATCCACCCCTCTGTAGCACGAGCATCCACCGATAGCGCTGCCGAGGAAAATCGGTGCACACGTGAACCGCTAACTACAAGCAAGAGCCACCGAAAACACAAACGGCTCGGAGGAATGGTCAGGATGGGAAAGACGGGCAGCCGAATAGTAACAATAGTAACTTTACCCCGCCGTTGTACTTAAAAATGTCTCACGTAACCGAGGGAGCCATAGTTTCTTGACAAGTGCGCGAAAATCTTTTAATTGCATCTCAATGGCTGAACCCCTCCAGACGAAACGCCTCTTGCGCATGACGGTGGCGCACTATCGCCAGCCTAACGTCAGTGAAGAAGACTTTTATCAATGGGTGACCGAGCAGCATGCCGCGCGGGCGGCCAAGCTACATGCTAAGAACGGGATTGAGGGATTTTCTATCGTGAGTATGCGGCCAACCAGGAGATTACGAGTGAATTGCAAAGTAACGGTCGTCCCGCTAGTTCTTCGCCCCCAAATCGTTTCGTGACTTCACATCGGAACTCAACAACGCGCGGGGAAACCCGTGGCGGGTTCGAGACTTTGACGCGCAAGTCGAGTTCTTGTTCCGGGACATGGAAACGTTCTACAAGGGGGCAGCAGACGCGGATTTTCAGGCGCTACAGGCAGAGGAGGGGCCCTTTATCAGTGGCGAGGGTGCAGAAATCAGTCTCGGCTGGGTTGAGACGTACGTCAGCGAGGGCAAAGTCGTCAACCTTGATGAGGCTGGTAAGCCTACTTTCCTGGCCTTTAAAGATATGAGCCAGGCGCCGTAAACGGAGATCGTTGCTATGATACATATAGAGCTCACAGATTGAATGGACCGAATTGCTATGTCAAGAGTCAAGTCTTTGTATAACACACTCCGTTCTTATAATTTTTGATTTACGCGGACGACCAAAGACCGCAAACACAACCCCCAGACTGTTTTACAGCAGTCACTCCATGATCAGAGCATAACACGCTGAAGAGCTAGTTTGGACACAGTATGCACGAGCTGTAGTGTGGAATCCTCATTGGCTTCAATCGCCTGCAGGGTCACTTTTGCTACAGTAGAAAGCCCATCACCGGGATCTGCAATCCCATTCATGGGCCGCTTCTCTGCAGCCGGAGGACCTGAAGTGGCAGCCTTTGACGCTGATCCGGCGGCGGTATTAGATACAGGTCTCATAATCTCGCTAATCAGAGAATGCATGTGCATCACGTTGGTCTCCATAATGCACGTCAGCACGAGGGACTGCACCGACGAGGTCTTGGGCAGCTCAAAGGAACCAACGGCCAGGCTTGGCAATTGGGTCGGAAAGCAGAAGCTGCTCTCGTCGTCATCCAGAGTCGGAGCGCTACCTCTGACCCCCATCTTCAGCCGCACCTCTAACCACGCCTCGATGTGCTGTAATATTTTATCGTAGGACGCGAGGAGGCACATGTAGCTAGACAGAACCAGCAACTGTGACGGTTGATCCAATGCGAGTTGTGCTAGTGTTTCGGAATCATTGCATGATCTGCATGACTCGAGTCGAGCGCAGATGCTAGTTAACAGACCCGTGTATTGAGTTGATAATTTAAATGTGGAATCCACTGGAAGTTCTTTCGGGCTCAGAGAGTTTCCTGAGCTACTCCCCTGCGTCCTTTGCCCGGTACCAACGAGGGGTATTGACTGCATGTGCTGGTGAAGCTGCACATTGGTGTCCGACAGTCTGCGGATCCAGGAAGTCAGATTTGAGTGATGTTCCTCAGGAATTGAATTTGAGGGCTCCTCCTGATCTTGGGGATTGCCCTGCAGCTCTGAGTCTGGATCTGGTGCGTCCCCATAAGGTGACCGTAGTAGGTCGGAAGGAGATAATTCATTACCGTAGCCAGAATCTGGACGTGAAGCTTTGCCGTCGGCTTCTTTTAAGTTCTCTCCTGCTTGATCAAAGTCCACCATCATGTCATCTTGCGCTTGCTGGTTTGCACGCTGAGGGGACATGTTTCTAGTCAGAGATGGGCGATGTCTGTTATAGGTCGAGGGAAAGGAAGACCGCATCGTGGCGGGTAATGAAAAGTCGTACAGATCGTCAGAAGGTTCATGACTGGGAGCGTCACTCCAGCGTGTCTGTCCCCCTTGTTCAGCGTTTCTCAGATGAGATGGAGGTTGAGGGCAGGACGGTTGACTGGCGTGGAGACTCCCTGCAGCACCATATGGAGCCCTCAATGCAGGATGAATATCGGCTTGTAACGAGGAGGTATCCAATTCAAGACTCAAGTCGGTTGGCATATCCAGCAAGCTCGTCGAGAGGTAATTGAAGTGGTCTGTATGCTCGTCGTTCGCGTCGTTCGGGCCTTCTTCTTGATTGACTGTGGTTCCGTAAGCCTTGCATCAATCACCTGCGTCGCTATCATACATTACACACTTACCGTGATGTGGTTGTGTACTATCACCGTTAACATGAGTTTGTGACGGCTGCTGCTGCGTATTCTTGGTGGATTGGGCTCGAGACCGCAGTCTCATGGGTCGTGGAGTACATCGAACGCCTGCCCTGGCGCAGCGCACACAAGTGTCGCTATTACTCTCACGTCGGCACCGTAACTTTTGGCCATGGCACCGGTCGCAGGCTCGATGAGAAAACCCCAAGTCGTGAACAAGCATGTTCATTCCGCGCTCGACTGTCGATGGGACTCCGGCTCTCCAAGTAGTGCACAGACGTCGGACTGAAAAAGGAAATAACGAAGCGCAAGCAATATGCAATATCCGGCCGAGCAATTGAGAAGACCTGTTGGTTTCGGTGTTCGGTCTGACCGCGAGATTTGTATAATTTCTGACCATGAAGTATTTGTTTCAGCCCCCCACCACTGCCTATTGTTTGGGTTTCCCACTAAGCTGACGACCATCCCACTCTGCAGCCCAGTCGCTTACTGTTGACGAAATGTGCCAATGCTTCTACACAAGCTAGTCAAAAGTACGGTCTTGGGGCCTTCTTCTGTCATTGGCGGAATCCCCGCGCTTCAGACCGGCAGATAGTGGAGGAGGATCGAGTACAGTCAGATTTTAGGTTACGGCTGATGCTGATCGCCACGATAATCTTCTAGAGATTTATCGTTTGGTGCCAATCTTATCTTCTGGCAGGACCAATTAACTTGCCTTGACCCACTATCCGTTGGTCTCGTGGATCGGCAGCTTCGCTGTGAAGTTTGGCACCGGGTCTAAGCGGCTCGTTTACTCATCGCACGGAATAATGCCTCCACCCAAGGCAAGGGAAAATTTAGCCTAGACCAGGTCGGTTCCTCTTCTTGGCTTGCTGCTTAGATTGAACGACCAGGGTCTGTCTCACTACATTAGCGCTACGTTTAGTGATAATTAGCAATCACTTCGTAAGGGTAGTATTTGGCGCGGCTCACTTTAGGCAGACGGGCTGAGCTGACCAGCGGGAGGACAGCAGAAGCGATGATGCATTGGCCAAAGTCAGTAGAACCCGTCATTATTGGTAGAGAATTGCAAGGTTAGTGGAATAAGGTGTAGAAGATTACTACCTTGAGGCCAACAGCACGGGGCTGAAGAGCGAAGAAGCGGGCCAAGCATCAGCAAGCAGCGCCTCAAATACTAGGTATTTTAACGTCACCGATACATCGTTCTACCATATTTCTACCACAATGCCTTCTTGTACGTAAAAATTGACATACGGGGCTTTCTAGGCATGAAGGCGACATATTGAGAGCTTTTAGCCGAGAAATATATATCTCTGGGTTTCGTACAAGTAGTGGGAAACACCACGCAGTTGTTCAAATAGGAAGGCGCAAATTATGCCCTTTACTACGCTGTTTTAGAGCCTTTATCCAATCTATTTAGTTTTGGATAGTTCCGTCTGATGTTTTAGGTGGACCACTGGTGCTAGAGTGGGTTCCTTATCATGAGCTACGCCTCTTCATGAGACGACACGTCCTGCTATTCATACAGTAGTATTGTACATGAGGCATAGCTACCCCTACCTAGCTGCATTATCTTATTGAGGAAATGATCTACGGAGGATTTGGCCCCCATCAGATATCTAACCAGGACCCCTGCAAGGTCGGTTAGTGCACCTTACAAAAGAACTGTACTGTACCCCTCTACAGAGTACTGTGTACTGCAATAAAAATAGCACCACGTTTTGTGTTCTATGAATTCTTCCAAGTTGAATGCATTGGAGACTCAGAGCCTAGATCCGTTTTTATTCTTTGCCTAAAATATGAGAATAATATATACCTCACTTCCCTTCCTCACAACCAACAATAGTATTATATATTTTTATGATGGTCTAATCTTAATACAAAGTTTCTACTGAATATATACTGTATTTTCCCTGTCAAATACATTAGTCTGCGTCAGACGGTCTAGAAAATAACGATCCTACCCAACGTATCCACCTCCTCCTATTAGCCTGTCACTGCTTCTCTGCTCTCACCCCTCTTGCCCCGCCTCCAGCAGTGCCCCACTACGCGTGTTGTCCAGGCAGTGTACGGAGTACTCCGTAGATACTATTACCTACTCCAAAAGAGCTCTCTGCTTTTATTCAGTGTGGTTGTGCGTGGTCAAATTTACATACTATTTGCTCTCCCAGAGATATTCGCGACCGTCACCTCTCTCCTGGTTTCCTTGCTAGAAATGACTGTCGACCCGCCAGAGCTTCTCGAGAAGCTGAAAATCAGCGGTAAGAGTTCAGCGATCTGTTACTCGACATATATTCCAGCAGCAACGCAAGCTAAGACCGTTTTTGACTCACAGATGCTGGTGCAAACGGAGCCGAGACAGGGATTTCCGCCCCCACCGCAGCAAACGGAACATCGAAGGAAGCAGAGGACTCGGACGACGACGTCGCCGAAAACAGCCCAGCAGTAGCTGCCGAGGACGGCACGGTCAAGAAAAAGAAGAACAAAAAGAGAAGGCCTAAGAAGAAGCAACCGAAGGTCCAGACCGATCCGCCCTCGATTCCCCTATCCCAGCTGTTCCCCAACAACACCTACCCCAAGGGCGAAGAGGTCGAATACAAGGACGAGAATCGATATCGAACCACCAGCGAGGAGAAGCGACACCTCGACAACCTCAATAACGACTTCCTCTCTGATTACCGTCAGGCCGCTGAGGCACATCGTCAGGTCCGTCAGTGGGCACAGAGAAGCATCAAGCCCGGTCAAACGCTCCTTGAGATTGCCAATGGCATCGAGGATTGTGCGCGACGTCTGGTGGGGCATGATGGTTTAACGGAAGGCGACTCTTTGATAGCCGGCATGGGATTTCCCACGGGGTTGAACATTGATAACGTTGTCGCCCACTACAGCCCTAACGCTGGCTGTAAGACCGTGCTTGCGCAGAACAATGTCCTCAAGGTCGATATTGGCATTCATGTAGGCGGTCGGATTGTCGACAGTGCCTTCACAATGGCATTCGATCCTACGTATGATAACCTACTCGAAGCTGTCAAGGATGCAACAAACACTGGGGTGCGTGAAGCGGGCATCGACGTGCGGGTGGGAGAACTAGGTGGCTACATTCAGGAGGCGATGGAAAGCTACGAGTGTGAAATCAACGGCAAAACGCACCCGATCAAAGCGATTCGCAACTTGTGCGGCCACACAATCCTTCCGTACTCTATTCATGGTACCAAGAGTGTTCCCTTTATCAAGTCGAACGACATGACAAAGATGGAAGAAGGGGACGTCTTTGCGATCGAGACCTTTGGCAGCACCGGTAGTGGCCGATATGTTGAAGGAGGCGAGGTCTCGCATTACGCCCTGCGCGGCGACGCGAACCGAAAAGACTTGACTTTGTCTTCTGCCAGGTCCCTCTTGACAGCGATCAAGAAGAACTTTAGCACGATCCCTTTCTGCCGGCGCTATTTAGACAGGATTGGACAAGAGAAGTATCTCCTCGGTGTATGAACTCCCATTACGACTTGCGGCTGGAGCTCTTGACTAACAGAGCGATAGCTGAATTACCTAGTAAAATCCGGGATTGTTGAAGACTATCCCCCTCTGAACGAGAAGCAAGGAACTTATACGGCCCAGTTTGAACACGTAAGTCATGTTGAGTTTTTCCTCCAGAAGAATAACTACTAATGGTGGATATAAGACCATCCTGCTTCGACCGACCGTCAAAGAGGTCATCAGTCGTGGGGACGACTACTAGACGTATTCAAGTGTGATTTTTTTCATTTCGTAGGAGCATTGAACGGTTGCGGAAATGAATATCATGGTTCATAGATGGACATATAGGGCATGAAGAATACAAAAAAAGTACTTTGATTTCTTCCTCAGTTCCGGTAACCATATAACGTACCCGCTTAATCTGTAGTAGCCTCGAATAGTGGAAGGGAACAATTTCGGCTATCTGAATATCCATGCGCATTTCCCGATATTTCGGGCGAATCGACCTTCGGTTTAGGGAAATTCTATTTTCGGTGTTGCATACTGCTTACGTCTCGTCCAGCAGGAACAGAGCGATATGCGCCTCGGACTGCTACTGGACTTGTATGTCTGCTTATTCTACCGGACGGGTCTTATTTACATCGAGTAGCCACTAATCTTGCTTACTGACGTTGGTGTGACCCAGTATTAAACTGCAGTATCTGGCTAGATTGGCAAGCATTGACATCTCTTCAACTCTGTTCTCACACCAAACACCTCCTACCATGGCCAGCATTGCAAAACAGTTAATCGAGAAGCTGAACGCTGTTGAGGCGGGCATCTTCGAGGGCCAGGATGCCACGCGACAGCAGCTGGCTCTGGCGGCCCGCAAACTCTTCCACACGCTCGAAACAAAGGAAGAAAAGACCATGCGACTCGCTATAGAGGAACCAATTATGTTCTCTGTGCTCCAGGCCCTCATTGACATTGGTCTATTTGAGGGCTGGGCTGCTGCCGGGGGTGGCGAGAAGGATGTGAGCGAGCTGGCTAAACTCAGCAAGAAAGATATGGAATCGGAGCTTCTATGTAAGGGTTTACTATGCCGCAAAATGTCATCGAACATGTATACTAATCGATTCAGGTCATCAACTACGACTGATGGCTGCCAACCACATTATTCGGGAAACGGCAAACGACCGCTATGTACCTACGCCCTATTCGCTGGCCATCGGAGACACGAGCACTCAGGTTGCCCCGGCTCTTCGCATCAGGTAAGCTGCAGCATTTGTGCACGGGGTAGCTATTGACCCAGAGGGACTAACGAGAAATGAACGTCTAGAACTGATCACGTCGCGCCATGTGCCATGCACTGGCCCGATTTCCTGGCCAAGACCAATTACCGTAAGCCGCGGGACGACAAGGCTAGTTGTTATATTGATACCTTCCCTGAAAAGAAGAGCTTTTTCGAGCGTTGTAGCGCGAACCCCGTGCACCAAGAGAGTTTCTCATCCTTTATGGATGTGTGGGCCAAAGGAAAGAGACCTTGGCCAGAGTTCTACGACACCCAAGCACTGCTTGATGGCGCCGACCTAAGCAATGGTAGCCCATTCGTTGTGGACGTTGGCGGACACC